AGAGAGAGAGAGAGAGAGAGAGAGAGAGAGAGAGAGAGAGAGAGAGACGAAATTCGATGATACCAATTCCCACGAGTTCATAGGTAACAGTTCGCGCGTGCGATTAACTAGAATTACCGCCGATAGCGACACGGTGTTTCACAACGTAATGAATAATTTATAAACTAATACCGAGTAATCCTGTAATCAGGCACGCATGAATGAGCGAAACATAATGCGATTGAAAGTGAGTGTCCGAGCAAACATATTAGCCTCGTCAAACAGAATTGAAAATACAGCAGCTTAATCAGTCTCCAAATAATTAGATGGCAAAGGGGGAGCGAGAATTAATCCATGCGAGTAATCAGCTCAACGAGAATTAACAGATCACTGTTTGAAAAGTGTCACGAAAAATGGAATGGACGCGCGAGCGAAACATTAAAACTTTTCCAACCCTGTCGGAAGATCGTTGTCGAGAAGTTTCGGGAGATTGATTCGCTGTGGGAAAAAAAGCCAAAAGGTTCTTTCTGAATGAATCTTTCCGCCCCTAAATTATCCCTGCACCGTTAATATCTGCGCACCGAGCGTCGCCGCGACGTTTCAAACTTTACGATACAGTTTCGTGCCTCGTCAAGGATGAATGTGGAAATAGAAATTAGCAAGCTTCGGGGAAACTTAGGAAAAGTTTCACAATCTCGAAACGAAGCCCTGTCGTCAACATTAAAATATCCGTAATGTTACCACGAGCAATGTGCTGCTCTGTGAATTGTTATCTTCAGCTTGTGCGATACAACTTCTGTTGCCTTTTTTTTTTCTCTCTCTCTCTCTCTTGAAACTTTCTTATTTTTTAAAATATGAAGCGAGGAACGGTACGTCGAAAAAATAAAAAGAATCAATTTTTTTTCTTTTGTGATTTTAAACAATAACGTCAGTGAAGATTAATTCATGAAACATCTTCACCAAATATGACAAAAAGTTTTATTTAAATTTGTTTCCAACTTTTATGAAATCCCTCATAAATTAAATCGAACCACAATCACGCTCAAAATGCAATTACGAAGAAAAGATAGAAGAACAAGGAAATTGTAGATGAAGAGTTTGAGTGGTTCGATGCGAGACGGTAGAAACTTTAAGGATACATTAAAAAATCAATTTCCCTATAAATCTGACCCTGTTCGTTGTGTATCCTCGCTTGCGTAATGTTTAAATTGAATTATATCTCGGATTTATATATCGAACAACGTGCATATTAGTATAGATGGATATCGGTGTGTGCAACCGAGGCATGATAGAACTGAATTTGAAATTTGAAATTTGAAATTATCGACTGACTCAGAGAATAAATTACTCGAATTATTTCATCTGTGATTACGATAGTTTACAGACAGATCGATCGATTTTGTTTCTAGAGATAGAATTGAATGCGAGAACACAGCGGCGCTGGTTAAACGAGAATGCGAAGATATTTTGAAGACGGCCCGAGAAACTGCAGAGAAACAAATTCACGAAATAGTAGAGCTTTACGATGAAGCTAAGGAAAAGGTATTTAAAGACGAAAATTTATTTATTGAAAACTTTCTTCGCGATCGCTATGATATAAATACTATAAACTTTGAAAGTAAAACAAATAGGCACGTTTGCAAGCAAAGAAAGACGTTCACCTCGACCTGTAAACTAATTCTTTAAACTCGACAACGATATTCTACGTTGCAGTTTTATTTCCTCGGGCGATACAAAAGATATTCGAATTTTCCTTGACAGTCTGTATAGAAGTTGGGAAAGTTCCGGATGCAATAGCGATGCAACATGCATCGTAAACCGACATCAAAGTGCTCTTTTAATTGATATGCATTCAGTTCGGCGTTGTAGCCAACCTTTTTACAGGCAGTGCATCGTAAAATATGTGCCCTTTGAAACGTCGCCTTTTTGATACGGGAAATCGAAGTTGTCGCCTTTTCGTTGCCTCTTGAATATGCAGTGTCCGAGCGGACTTCGAGTTTCAAATGAGTCGTGTATAGGCTTTCTAAACTTCTAAATTGGAATTTTCATCTTAATATCCTAATTTTACCGTCGCAAGTTCGATCAATAGCTTCTGCTATCTAACTCGAAAAACAGAAATATTTACACATTTTCACCTTCTTTCTTCGCCAAGAAAAAGAAAAAAAGAAAAAAAGAAAAAGATTATTTCCAAAAGGAATCTGATTTTCGAAGTCAGTAATTTCAATGTGATGAAATTTTAATTGTCGTTATCGCAATAAGGTTCAACAGTTGCTTTCAGTCTATCGCGCAAATTGTTCAAACGGTCTTAAAGAGAATCTCCCTACGGGGAAGAGAATTTCGTTGGCAAGAATTTCGGGGGGAATTTCAGAGTGTATTTTCTTTGCCGTCGAAAGCATGTCAGCTTGGGATCCTTCGTAATTTCTGCAGGGAGCAGCGTCAAATACAATAAGCTTTATCACTGACACAGATAGAAGGGTGGAAGAAAGAGAGAAAATTACGCCCAACCCATCTGTACTAATCAACACGTTTCTTAATAAAGCTTCGTCAATTAGTACGTACAAACAACTGAGTCAGTTTATCAACAATCTCCAGACAACAAATATTGCTTTTTTTCGGTTGCAAAAACCTCGGTATTTCTTATCTTCGCAAGTTACATCAGCTTCTAAAATTTTTATTCGACACCATGGTAAAGCTTTAATTGCTATGTCTAAGCAGCTTACGGAATAAACTGAAATTCGTATAAATAGTTTCACAACGACTCGTTGATCTGCAACTACAATTATTCGTAACATTATTTATTTTATAACCTATCATATTTGACTCGATATTTTGAACGATTTATAGTGTATTCTAAAAAAAATTCTACTTTCTAAGATAGATTTATCCTGATCTTCTCGTGTTCTTTCCTACGCGCGCGATATTGATTCTTGCGTGTTTCTTACACGACACTTCGCTTATGCTTGTATAAATTTTCCAAGGAACAACGAACTTGCGTAAAACAAGCCTGACACGAAAAGTTTACGATCGTGAGCATTAAGTTCTCTCTCTCTCTCTCTCTCTCTTTCTTTCTCCTCTCTAAAAGTGAATCGGTAATAACACGTTAATAAATCCTAGAAACTAAAAGGTCTTGCTACGAGAGCTGTTAAATCGTTAATTAAAAGCATTGCGTCGTAAAATTACAGGATGATAATGGGAATCGCTAGGCAAGTTATTTCTCATTTTTTAATTTCCACGGGAAATTTAATTACAAGGAACACGCGGACGCTTATCGATTTTAAAAGATATTTATTCCCAGAATGTCATCGATTGCGAAACGAATCCGCGAATTTATGATACACAATTTTTAACTGATCCATCGGATTGCAACATCGACGAATTTACTTTTAACGATGTACTTTGAACAGGAATCAAATTGTTGGAATTTTTGAACAGCTCGGTTGCAAAAACATTTCATTTCGAACGATAATTTCTCTGTGGAATTCGTTGGCAGTTAAATATGACTTTCCGAATTGTAGCACTCCGAAGCGAAACCGCAGATAAACGGAAGGATCATGAAAAATGAAAACTAGCGTTTTCAATTCTGAGGATTTTTCAGATGCCAATCATTATTTACGAGTATAATTTTAAAAAAATAAAACCTAGGCAGAGATTTGTTAAGTATCGTGACAGATATTTTAAATACTTTATTCAGCGTTTTCTTCGCAATTTGTTTACAAATATTTCGCAGTTCCTTTTCACTGCGAAAGCCATGTATACTAAACAAAGGGAGCAATTAAAATGAAATAATTGTAACTGAACAATTGAAACGTTGAAATCGATATCCACTCGTACGGTTGTAACAATCTATTTCGAGAGATTGAATTTTCTTTTAATAGATGACCCGATTAGAGGAACGTGTAGGAACGTACGAAGCTTTCGAACGAGAATATGAAAACCGTGGTTCCGAGCTGGCGAATCTACTTGAAACTTTAAAACGTTTCGACGTGGATGTCGGCTCTGTCTGTCAACTCGCGGCAGAGGGTAAGTATTATCCGACACTTTCAGATTCCATCGCATAAGTCGAACGTATCCGTTCCCTCTGCAGCTTTAAAGAACTTGACCGAACGGGGAACCTTGTTCGAAGAAAGCATGAAGAATCTCAGGCATCTCGCTTGGACCGTAAAAGACAGAAAGGACGAACCGCAACTAGTTTTATTAAGGGAACAGAACTCCGTTTTGAGAGAGATAGTGAAGAATCTTAAAAAGAAGGTAGGTGCCTTTGGCCATTTCACGGAAAATTGCAATATTTTAATGAATTCTCTCTTTAGTTATGAATTTTGACATAGTTTACTGTAATTAAAGTAATTAAAGTAAAAAGAAAACTTACAGGAGAAAAATATGATATTCGCAGTTTTTTTAAATTTTTAGATTTATTTCTTGTATGACTGAAAAATAGTATTTTAACGTGGCTGAAAATAAGAACAACCCTGTGAGTTAAAGTTCTGTAAAAATTAAAGAATATATACTTAATTGCAAAAAAAAAAAAATAATAAAAATAAAAAAGAATTTAACAACGTGGAATTTATTAACAATACATCAAATTTTAAAATACAAAATTTTATTTATCGTATTCTTCTTCTATCATCTTTAAACTAAAAGCCTCAAGCAACTAACTTCCTTTGCATACTGTAATCGTAATAGTCAACGCAAAAGAAATTGCTTATTTTTCGATTACACAATACTTAATACCTCACTCTATAACTACATCCTGGGATAAAAAGATAGCATACTCTATATTTCCTTACGTAACGTTATCGTAAAATAGAGAGAATTTGTAGATTATTAGTATCCTTGAGCATCGATGTGCGCGTAATATGTTGAATGTTATTACCGAGACACGCGATTTCTCAGAAATACAAAAACGAAAATGTAAATATTGCCCGTAGCCGCGAAGCAGACAAGTTTGAAGAAGTCGAATATTTACGCAGCTCAGTCATGCACGAGCTATCGAAAGCGTAACATTCGTACGTAATATAGTCAGTTAAGTGCGCATTGACATTTGTAAAAATGGCTCGCGGGAAGAAGTTAACTCCAGCTAAAATACATACGATATTGAAATTAAACGAAGAACATTACTGCGTGACAAAAATAGCTAGAACAGTTGACAAAAGACGTCAAGTGATAGAGAATCTACTAAAAGATCCTGATAATTACGAAAAAAAGAAAAAATTATGGACGACTGCAGCTAAGAGCTCGGGATACACGTGCTATAATACGAAATAGCATGAGGACAAATTGCAGAAAGAGATGGAATTACGATCAATTTTGGCAATGTTCGGACGTCTTTTAAAGAATTTCGAACACCTAAAACGAAGAAAATTGCAACGAAAATTTGGCCAAAAGAAGAGCATAAGCTGTGCCGTTTCAACGTGTAAAATGGCAAAAACTCGTATTTTACCGATATCGCTTCTGAAAAGCGCTTCAATTTTGACAGATCTGATGGCCTTCATTATCATCATGATTCATAAGAGAAACAACAACTTCTCAGTCATCGATCCATGGGAGTGGGCGTATAATGATTTGGAAAGATATTGATTACGGTAAGTTGGAAATGAAATTCATTAAAGGAGAATTAAATAGTAAAAAGTATATTGAAACGATTGACGAACAAATTAATACATATGCGATACAAATTTCCGGAAATAGGTACGTTTTTCAATGCGATAACGTAGCAACGTCCGAAAGCAGTAAAACAATATTTTGCAAACAAAACAAATTCGTGTTTTAGAATAGCTAGCCAAGTCGCCGGGCTTGAATATTGTAAAAAACTGTTGGGCAAATTTGTGGAGGAATGAGAAAAGAAGCAAACAAAAAAAATCATTAAAGAATTATACAAATCTTTGCCTCAAAGAATGGCTGCCATTATTAAATGCAAAGATCATACTAAGTGTTAAACAGTTATCAAACTCTTTCTTTTGTTTGTATTCATTATTTTTCATGATACGTGCTATGATTTTGATATTGAAAAAATGTTTAATTTATGTCACTTATACATGTTGATAAAAGCTAAAAACTACGGAAGAATTGAATGTAAGAAAGATTTCGCATCATTTGTTTTAATAAGAAGAAATTTAATAACTTTTAAAGTGTGCTATTTTCTTGTCCCGGAGTGTATTTCTAGAAGCCATAATACGCTATAAAAATTAATACTTTTTCTTCTTTCCTTTCGTCAATAGACAAATAATAAATCTCATCTATTCATTTCGGCACACAACACATCGATATAAAATATTTCACTCGATGAACAACACGATAGAACAAACTCAACTCCGTGTTCCATAAAAGTCAATTTAGTGTTGCACAAAGGGCGTGTTATGCACGATTGTGTGCGTACGATTTGTTCGAAATTTTATCGAACAGTATTCTTTCCCCTGGAAACAATGCCGCAGTTTTACTTCTATCAGGCTAATTCCATTATTTTATGCTTTAATGCAGACTTTGCCGTATATATCAAGACAAACGTTATTAATCCAGGAAACAAATGTTTGTTTTACAATAACATTGCAAACATGTACAGACAGCTTAAAATATTCAGGATAATTCACCACGGCAGAACGCTTAATTAGACTACTTACAATTATGGTTGGAAAAATATCTCGGGACAAAAGTTAAAACCCAGCGGTATTGCATTCTTTCTTTTTTTTTTTTTTTTTTTTAAATAATTGAAATTAGTAAAATTAATAATACACTGAAAGCTACATTATTATGTGCGTATCGTAATACGAAACTGCTTTTGAAAATGAGCATGCAGACTGGAAATGAACGAAAATTAATATAAAATTCCATCTTTCACGAATACAGTAAAAAACGATATGAGCACGATTCGCGTTAGTATCGATAATACGAGCTATAAAATAATAATAATGTCGAGAAATTGTGCCCATTCCTTTCCAAATGAAATTCCTTCCGATTGTGAATTTTACGTCGCTCTACGTAATACGCATTGTCGTAAATAGGCAAATCCGCTTCAGAAAAAAAACGTAATAACGTAACACGAGAACTGATATTCCGGACGAAGCTCGATAAAATTCATAAGCATCAATTTTATTTACCTTTCTTCGTACCGTAGAATCTCTCGCACAGGACTGCGGAATTTTCCGTAATTTCGTTCGTATGCCGCGACTCGTTCGAACAAGACACTCGTAATCACATTTAACTACACCTGTAAATCGTTCTCACTTGTGTTTTGTTCTCACGTTTTTCCCCGTTATTGTGTGACATTCCCGTGAAAATTCGTTACAAAGTTTCAGATGCTCAGCCAAACGCACGATGAAATCCCGATAGAAAAAGATGCGGAACAACACGAACATGCGATAAATCCCCGAAATATTGATGGACACTCATCGAACGGGCGTTCGTTGAACGGAAATGCAACGGAAAATCCGATAGACTCGTCGATTCGCGAGAATAATAACGATTACGACGCGAAGGAACGCAACGGACGCGATGCAATTGGAACGCGCGCAATAACTGTCAGCTGGAAGAACGAGAATCGAAGCGAGAAGTTCGATATCGAACGTACGATAATCGATAAGTGCGGGAAATTGTTGTGCATCGTGTCCCATTCAAACGGCGTGGTGTACGAAGAGTACGTGTTCAAATTATCGACCGATCGAGAAATAAAAATCAAATATCCAGTTTCATTGAACAAGGACGACGAGGCGGTTAGGTTGGAGTTCGTGGACAACGAGACTGATTACGAAGTGACACCGACGGACAGAATGTTGATATTGTTTAAAAACGTGTACGTGACCGTGAACGTGAAGCAAACCGGTGTACCGTGCAGCACGCAAACTGCAAAGATAAAAACCTGCAACATCTTTACGCAAACGGCGGTTACTGGAGTAAACTGGTTCTCTCGTTTAAACATGGGCGCCACGGTGAGTGAAAAGAATTTTTCCACCTTTCACGCTTTGCACTGCAGACTTGAAAGTTCGGTTATTTACTAAGAAAGAGGGTTACATCGTTTTTCTTAGAAAAAATTATTAAAAAAATTTTCTAAATTTATAATTACATTATATAAAAGAAATGCTTACATAGTAGTCTTTATAAATCGCATCTCGATGATATTACAACTAACTTTTAGTATAAATACGATTAACACGTGGAAATCGTTAGAGTATTGACAATGAAAGCTAAAGCGTTCCATCGTTTATATACTTATTTGCTGTATTTCGTACAATACAATTGAAAAAAAAAAAAAAAAAAAAAACGTATATATAGATCTCGTTAGAACGGTAGAAAATTTCAACTTGATTCTTCAATTAAAATATAGATGCTTAATAGCGAGAAACGTGCGATAGAGAGAAGTCTCGGTAATTTGGAACGAACCGTTAACACCTTAAAACTGAACACGTTAAATGATGTTGAAACGATGATTGGTAAGGGTTCGCATTTACTTGGAAATAACGAGATGCTAAACCATATCAAGGCATTGACTCAATAGTGTTATGCGAGGCAACTCCTATTTGTTTCTTTCAAGTGCACGAATCCCTAACATTACAGCGATTTTTGTATAACATGTAACAGTATCGAACTAGATTCATCATAATTGTAATAATACTTTTCCTATTCAATTGTACATAAAAAAATACCACTACAAGTAATTGGTAAAGATGTCCACGAGTTTAGAAAAACGTTATTGTTGCTTATCGTTAAAAATGTTATGAGATAATTCTTATATAATATCTATACACGCATAGATACATTACATACATACATATTTTCATAATAAATGTACATAATTGCATAGATTTAATTGTATTTAAAATCGTAATAATTATCACATTATTTTGAGTAAGAATTAAATATTCACTTTTTTTTTTCGTCAGAAATGGTGCATTCTACTACGTTCTCATGTATGACTTTCCTTTAGAGAATCTCAAAACTTTTATCCTTTTGCATTTTTCTTTTTTTTCTCTTCTCCTTCTTCTTTTTCTTTACGTTAAAGTGCGATTTCATTACATGTGTGTGAATGGAAAAATTTATTAAAAATGTGAAATGCAATTCGTGGAAAAATACATATATGCATAAACCTTAAAAGGTAATCCAAGTTTTTTTTCGCACATACTTCCTTCGATTGAAATATATAGAATTTATATATAATTCATGTGCTCTCGATTCAGCATTCCATATCCAAGTTTTTAATTACAGAGGGATTAAAAGATAAACGATTACTCTAAGTTTCTCATTAAGTAACAGTGGAAATTTGATTTATGATACAAACTATTTCTTACAATTATGTTCGCCAGTGTGGCAAATAAAATAAATAGTTTTAGCATGCACTATATTTCTTAATTATTCATCGCGTTGAATCTTAGAAAGACATTGTTAGAAACAGCTTAGATCAATTTTTTTTTTTTTTTTTATGTAAAATACTTTTAAAAACACGATGAGTAAAAAGGTCCAGGAAAAGGCGATATTATGTTAAAATACGATAAAAGATTAGAGGAATGTCATTTTCATACTATGTATGTTTCCATAACCCTGCTCTTTTCCTTTTCTTTTTTTTTCATCTTTATCTTTGATTATTTGCTAATATCCTATCTTTGTTATCAAAAGATTCAAAATTGATTGCTAGATACTTATTTATACCTATACTATCCTTCTTTCATCACTTATTTTTCAATACATAATAAATTATTTCTGGAAATGGAAAAGTTTTCTCCGGCAGCACTGAATTTATCCTTTCTGTTTCTTATGTCTATTTGAGAATGTTCGATTATAATCAATGTGTTGAGCCTGGCACTAGGAACTTGCATTCCTGGTAATACTTTGGACAACACGCTGTCCCCACCAAGCTTCAAGATTAAATGGCTCAAAATCTATGATGACATAAAAGTATCAGTTTAAAAAGTATTAATTTCAATTAATATATACAAAATAAAACCACACTTACCTTTGAGTTGAGGATTTGGTTCTCGTTCTTGATAATATGTGACAGACGCTCCATTTCTATAATTGGAAGAATTACTGTGAGATTGATTGTGACACATATCTAATTCTCTAGATACTGTATTCCACGCTGTAAACAGAAGTAGGAAAAACTTGATAATGGATATAATTTATTTACAAATACTAAAGAAAAATAGCATGTGATACATACAGTCATAAATATATTTAATTAAGTCAAAATGTTGAGCTATTGTCTCAGACTGATGTCTGGATGGAATCGAAGATGGTCTCTTCCCATTCACTGCTGTCATTTGCGATCTACCACTATAAGATATTTCACAAAATGAAAACAATATTGTTTAAAATATACACATAACACATAGTAAAATATACAATATTGTTTAAAATATAACATAGAAAGCGCAGTCAAGTTGAGCCACAACTGCTACTGAACCAACACATAATTATTAGTGGATATATTTTATTTTAAGATCTCTCACGATTTTATAGCAATTAAAATAAATATAATTACAAAAATATAAAGCGATATCGGTACTTCATGAAAACTGACAAAACTTAACGAAATAAATTGAAGCATGAATATAAAATATTCAAACATAAAAATCAACAAGCAATTATTTATTAGAATTTGACATATATTATAATAATGTCTAGACTACAGCATATTGCTTTGTACAGTGAAAGGAAATGGACGCCATCTTATAACATAACTCAAAATATAACCTTTTATTTCGCATAACAATATTTTATTTAATATTTATCGTACCACAATAAAGAGATTTGCACATATTCTGAAGAATTTCACAAGCGAAAGGAAATATTCGATAAGATTAAAATAATTGATGTTAATCTATAAATAAGCCACGTATACATATATTTAGAACTCGTTTCTAATCTTTCCAACATGGTTTTTCTTCAAAGATTCTAATACAGCAAGACACGAAACGTAGGAAAACTGAAATTTATAAATAATCGGTGGAATGTTTGACATGTCAGTAAAAATATGCAATAATTAGTAATACGAAGCCTTTCGAAGAGAAAACGGCGGAAAATGGCGGTTCTCGTATGACAGTTAGTACTGTCTTTCGGTTCCCGCCTATTTCTCTTTCTGTCTATTTGACACTACTTCCTTTCACAAGTTTCGCAGCAATGGAACGGTTGACGATTTGCCAGAGATAAATGTTAGATGATCCAAGTGGAAAACGATATCATACACGATAAAGATTAAATAAACGAAATTTAGAGACGCGGGAATAAAGACACTTTTGTGATAAATACCTCATTTTCTTTGTTCTGCGATGAAACTGTATACCAACGGAAATACGAGCACAATTTTATGCGAATCTGCAATCACTATCTACGAATGAAAGTATAAATGTTTCATACAAGTTAACAGTTGAAAAGCTGAAACAAGACTGAGCGTTTGTTTCTCGCAACTCGGAACAGCTGCAGGAAGCTTTCCTTGAAAACTGTCAACAATGGTGGGTTGGGACTAAAGACTCGAACGGTAAAATAGAAGTGAAAGTGGCGACAATCCAGCAGGTATAAAAGATAACTGTTTTGTTGAAAAATTTCGCCGCAAGATGGGGTGTCCATCGCTTTCCTTCTACGCCATTTCTTTAATCATACTTTTTGAATTGCGAAACAATAGTAGAACAATTTACGTTTATACATGATTTAAAAATTAATTTAGTAGTTTTTCATTAAAGAATATGAACTACTTTAAGAAATTTAATATTAAATTTTTCAACCAACAAAATCTTTCTAGTAACCATTTCTCAACTGTAATTAATTTTCATTTATCTAATGATCTTATGATAGTAGAAGAATAATTATATTTAGTAAAACAAATGTTTAAAGATTATAGACGAGATAGATTTAATATCTCCTCTTTTTAGATTTAGAGTGTTAAGTTCAAAACTTATTTTTTGAATTAATTAAGATATAAATTCATACTAATCGTAGCTCAAATGCGATTCGTCGATTACAAAACACGTGATATGCTCGTTTCCTCTCTCAAATCCAAATTGTTAAATTATTATTAATTTATTAAATTATTATTAAATTATTAAATTATGTACATTCTGACTACATTTAGAAGCAATATGATTAATCAAAATAATTGTTGGTGTTTTATTGTTTTTCATTTATTCAACGTGATTTCTTTAAAACTTATCATTAGTAAAATCTTTAATTTCTTTGAAAATTGATATTTAATAATTGAAGTTCTGCAGTTTATTCTGTTATAGGTTATTCGGATTATTGTATATCATTTACTATGAATTACTATGACCATCTATTACACATAGAAAGTTTATTATTTATTAAAGATTTCGATCAAATATAGTTTAAATAGGAAATAAAGAGGAAACGTAAGCATGTATCTATATATACTGTAAAACTTTTATAAAATTGCACGGTTGCAGGAAAATGCGCTTTCATGTTTCATTTATTGCAAAGATGCACTTCAAGATAGACGATAGTAAGAATTGTCGGTCGTTACAACTCACGCTCACAAGTTCATAGTCACGAAAATGTCGATTTCACGATAAAAATGTAATAATACGTTCCTTCGAAACTATCGAATTTAAATTTTCGAAAAATTTACATTTGAAGCAACGCAACTTGGTATAAAATGCACGTCACATGTGTACCAAGTTGTATTACTGTGCGTGTAAGCACAGTATCTAGAGGATGATCTATAGAAAGTTAGAAAATTATTTTCTTCAGGAAATTAGTCTTAAAAAGTAGAACGTGTTATTTCATTAAATGCTAATGTAAAGTTGCAATCGACTGAAATTTTTGAAAAAACAAATTACAAATTAGAACGTCTAAAAAGTAATTAGTAATTTTACTACGAACTACAAATGTTAGTAAGTAAAATGAAAATTAAAGTGTTTGTTTATAAGAAAGTTTCTAGTCACGTCAATATCTTAATTTTAATATTAAACTTTCTTGTCCTTAAACCTTCGACACAAAGGACACAAAGAGCAGCTAGTTTAATTGAACTTTTAATAAATAAAATATTAATTAAAACTTTTTGAAAATTGTTCGAAGAAACATGTTCCGAGTTATTCAGCTGTAAAAAAAGAAATTTAATTTTTCCACATTGTTCCATTGAGGTATTGGCGTGACAATATCAAAATGGCCGTTTATAACACGACCGTAAAGGCTATTTTGGAAATTCTTGGAATAATAGTGCATGCTGTTTAACCAGAAATACGTTATATTTCCAAAAGATGAAAGATATTTCCAAGAGAATGGAAGGGATATTTAGAACAACATTATTCGATACAAATCACATAGTAAATTATTTTTATATATTTAATTAACGTGGGCTTGAAAAAGAGGCATTATGTCTCAAATAATAATAATCAAGTTCGAATTTCGTCATCTTGAGCGTTTATTTTAAACGAATGGCAGCTAAAGCATTTTAAGCATTTATCTAAAACACTCGTGACGCCATTATCTCGGACATTATTCGTTAAAATATACGATAGCGTGTCGGGTTATATTTGACAATACTATAACGTGGCCTCGATATATCCACATATCGCTGGCACCATCGCCACGACTTCAGTTGGCTGCGTTTCACTTTCAGTTAACCAAAGGCCTACTAGTCTATTTCTGCAATCCTGTCGTTCAATACGATTTCAAAGGATCCTTGTCACTTTGTGATTACATCATAGTAGATAGCAAAACTGTGCACTCGTCTTAAATGGCACGTCACGAGGTGTATCGAGTTAATTAATACAAGGATAGCGTTAACGCTTAATTAATTATGCAAGTTTCACGTTGAAATGATGATTAAAGAGGCACATGCGAAAGTGAAAATGTAAATTATACATTAGATACAATAGTACACAACATCTAGCAAGTCATCATGTAACAAAGACGCTACCACCCTCACCGTGGATTCCCAAAATGTCAAAAATACGATGGCAAGGCAACGAAAGAAATATAATTCGTTTGATATATTTTCGTATCTAGTTGAACATACAATTAAATATTGTATCAATTTTTCTTCAAATCCATCATTACTTCCATTTGTATAATTTTTATGATTTTAAATTTGTTACTATAGTGATCAATCGTTAATACAATCATGTGAATCTATATCCATTTCACAGAATTTAATCGTTAGGAAGAAAATCGTCTAGAACAGAAGTTTTCTACTTTGTAACTGGAAATCCATCGCTCTCGAAGGATTTTACCTGAAGGTAATAGGTAGAAATGTCTCTTTATCAAAGTTATCCAATTTGTCTCACGTTGACAGAAGCAATACGGAAGCCTGCCAATTAATCGAAGCGCTGTTGCGAACTAATTACCTACAATGAGAAGAAAGAATATATTTTACAATCGCCTCAAGGCTTTGAACAAATCAAATTCTGTAACATTTGATGCTTTGACAACTCAGGAAATTATCAATATTTAAAACGCCGCTCTTGCTATACGACGAGATACGAAATATTTTTATACGACAAGACATCTTATGTAAAATCATCATCTACTTCAAAGTCAAATGAAACGAAATTTTCAAAATTTCACTCTACACTTGTACCTGTATCTTCAAGTGAATCCTTTAGTCAAAATTTCGAGAAATATTCTGCAATATTTTGTTAAAGCGCAACGTCTTTAAACCTATTTGAGAAAATTCAACCGGATGTCTAATTACAATTTACAGAAACTTGTACATGAATCGATTTCGAAATACGTTGATTGCAATAAATCGACGGTATAGTCATTTTTGCAAGGGGGCCGAAAGTTTTATTCGATGGTTTATTTCGAAAGAATATTAAATCTTTTCCATTTGCCGCGTGGGAGGTTGAAACGTTCATCGAAATGGTAAATCGATATTTTTCTGGCGAACCATGGGTAGCGCATAGTACAAACTGACCAGAATACAAATAGCAAGAAAAGCCACACCAAGCCAGTGGACCTCCATGATCCTCGAAGACAATGATCCTAACAGGTTCAAATAGCATTGGCTCAATGTTATTGTGCAGTACTACAAGAGGCAGTTGACCTAAATGGGCCATAACTGGCGCGAGTGCGCTCGCATATGTATGTCAGTACATACACTCATTTCCGGATATTTGAAAATCGATTACATCAATAAACTACAAAGTATTGTATATCGGTTGTACAGCGTCAGTGAAACGAAACGAAATTCCGATACAGTGAATTATATCGTCGGAGAATATATGAGATTATTGTCACATGGGAACGATGATTGAAATATTACGATATTCTCGTCCAATATCTCAAAAATTTGTTATTTGAAAATGATCTAATGAAACTTTTAATATAGCAGCTTGACGTACGCGTCGTGCTCGATACCTTTCATCGACACGGGTTTAGATTTCGTTTTATTATAAGTGAAAATGAAAAATCGTGCAGGTTTTTTTCTCTGAAACGTGTGTTTAAAATAGAGAGCTGTATAAAGGTGGATAGTTTTAGTGGAAAGATTGTTACACATCAGTTACTTTTGCGTTTGTGCTCTTTCACAATCCGTTATTACATTGGTATTTAATAAACGTAACCATATGAATACAAACAGAAATTTGATTATAAAGCGAACGTGCATTCATTCGTTTGATATAGACACACCTTTATATAGACACCCAAGACTGTTACGATTTGAGCCAAGATTCAGGCTCTTATTGTTAAGACTGATTAATAGCAGGATGATTTAATAGTGTCTTGTTACAAGAGGAAGTCACATCAGAAATTCTAGTGGTTGAACACAACCTTTGTCTCTCGGCAGTAATTTGGTGATACGCCAGATTGTTACAAATGACGAAAGCGGTATTGCATCGTCGAATCACGCGAAGAAGTAACTCCATACTAATTTTCACGCGCGAAAAAAGATAAAGACGGTTGTATGTAATTCTTATGCCCGTTATAAATTTTACTGAACTAGACGCACTTCGTTAGACTCTTTTTCCTTTAAATAACTAAACGTAGCATCCATCGCATCCACTCCATCCAACGCAACGGAGATTGATTATTAATCTCGTATAATCGTTGTATGCGTTTGTCCCGTGATAACAGCAGCGTATCTGAAATGATTATAGCACACTTATGAAGCTAATGCACTTCATAAGCTGCGGATATAATAGTGTTTTATATAATTTGCCGCGTTAAGAAGATTAACGTGTATAATTAATTTTTTTAGCATGACGTCGGCTCGGTTCATTACATCATGTAGAGATACACGTGTATTTCTTTGCTCTTTGCATTGCACAGGGTAATGTAATAACAGAATAATAATCGCATAATCTCGATGTACGTATGCATGTTTCATTGCTCGATCGTTCAAAAGTGGGATTACTTATAGGACAGAAATCGTTCATACGTTGTGCTAAACTGTTCATTATAATGAATTCATAGTCCAGTTGGTGATAGCGGTTTGCGGTTCCTTTCGCCCCCAAAATAATTTACCACGGATTACCTTCCCTATCGTGGATTTCCTCCG